AGACCTTTGTGATCTTGATTGAGCTTATTGTCATGTTGATTGGAAAATACGGGGAAGCCTATGGAGAAAATCATGCATGTGTTTATCTTTGAGAGTGTGAGAGTTTCTTTTGATTCATATATTTTGTAATTTTGATGAGATTTGTGTGAGCATGGAATCATTCTTGATGTGAAGGCATTCAAATGTTCTTGTTAGCTTGAATTTGCATTTGAGGAAGCATTGTGAGCTTGAATTCTATTTGATAATGGCTAGTCACAGTTTGAAACTTGTAGTGCACAATTGAACATTGCATGGGTAGATTGAACCTCATGTGCATTCATGTTGAGTCTTGAGTAGCACTATTTGTAGACATCTCTGTTGCACTGATTGATCTTGTGTTTTACTTGAGGACAAACAAAAGTTTAAGTTGAGGGTGTTGATGAGTCGGGGATTTAGACTCATTTAGGGCTTAATATTCATAATTTTAGTGTCTTCAATGCCTACTTTATGCTCTAAACTGATGTTAAAATGCTAATTTAAAGCAATGAAGGCAAAAGAGCAAGGCAAGGACATTACCCGGCAAAAAAAGGAGCGAAAAGGTGAAAAAGTTGAAGAAAATCAAGGATGATGATCGCCAAGACCACTCAGCGAACCGCCGAGTGGCTCTTCAGTTCGCCAAAAGTTACAGCAGGCCAGCCTAGGACAAAGCCAACTCGACGATGGGAAGGACAACTTGGTGATTCACCGATTGAATCTGCGATGGGGACTTAGCTTGCACAAAGTTATAGAATGATTGGTGAAAAGGCAAACCAAAAGGCGAGATGAAGGAATATTTGGCGCATCACCGAACCGGTCGGCGAGCCCAACCTGGATCGCATAAAGTTACAGCAAGGGGGTGATGAAAAGTCACGCCAAGAAGGCGATGGAAGGAACACTCGGTGCATCGCCGACCTGGTCGGCAATGCTCGAGTTATTCCACCGATCGGTCCTAAAGCTGAAAATCTAGAAGAGTATAAATGCGATTTTTAAAAGATGAAAAAGGAGTTTTTTCAGAGGTTCTCGAGCTCCAACAAGTTTCTACACATTCTAACTCTGGTTTTTTTTATCTAAACACTGTTTTTAGTATTTATTTTTTTAGTAGGATTTTAAGTTGGGTTTTGATATTGAACTAATTCCAAGCATTGTGAAGACTTGCAAATTGTTACCGAGCTGATGGAGAACATAGTTGGAAATACTTTCTTGCTTTTTATGATGTGTGGCTAAAATCCCCATTCTTTGGGGGTATGATTATGTGATTAAATGTTCTAATTAGCTTATGGGTGTTAGTATTTACTGATTTAAATGTTGATTTGAAGTGGATTTGATTGATAGTTGTGTTTTAATTCATGAATTGTAGTTGCAAATACAGTTCTAGTTTAGCATTCTTGGCTTGCTTGAGAAAGAAGTTTTAAAATTAAAACTATCAATTGATTATTGTAGTGATTGAGTTATTCTTGATATAGCTTGACAAAGTGAATCTGAATTCGATCCTACCAATTTGGCTCTAGAGAGTAGATTAATTGAGGTTTTGGGTTGTTCATAGTGTTATGCTTGTCGAGGTTCGAGAGAACTCGATTGATTCGTGGTAGTTGATCGAGAGATGACTATTACATCTAAAGCCTAGCCTACCCACTAAGATTCAACGTCTTTTAATAAATAATAATCACCTATATAGCAAAATTGGTGTTTATTCGGTCACATCCCCAAGGATCCCTCTCAACTTGATTATCCCCTGTTTGCGTAGTTGTTAATTGCTCACTCTAATCCCCCCATTTGACACTAGTTGCCAACCCCTGCACTTTACTTTAATTGTTTCAATAATGTTTACTTCTACAAATGACTAGAACACGCTTCTTACTTCGTAATTGAACTCTTCGTTGGGTTTATACTTGATTGTGACCGCCTACACTTAGAATTGGATGAAGTGTAGTTGAGCGTTATCAGTTGGTGGGTGGGTGTTTAGAAATTCTTTTTTAAATTATTTTTTTAGTTAGTTAAATAGATTAAAATAGTTGTTTTTAGTATTTCATTTTTTAATTAAGTTTTTTGGATTTAGATGCCACATGTCATCATTTAATTCATGAATTTGTCATGTCACTGTCATGTAACAATAAGTGGAGTACACACATCTCTTTTTTTTTTATTGTCAAAAAAATGTCAACTAGGTATCAATTTTAAGGGGCATAGGTGTTCAACAGGGATGAGCCTTAGTTCAAGTGTTTAAACGAATTATGCAGACAATTTTAAGGAGCTGCGGATGACTTAAGCCATTATACTATATGTATTTTATACATAAAACCTACCACACAGTAATGTATCAATTTCAAACCAAACAACTTATGACAATAATTACTTGTTTAATGTATCCCGTAAAAATACAATACCTATCAATTTAAATGAGATACATAAATAGTAATGTATCATGACAAATCTATCCATCTCAAAAAATCAATTCCAGAATATCTTAGCAAAATTGAGATATTCATGATGTATCTTCGCCTTCACCTCCGTACTTCTTATATCAGTTATATAATTTGTTACTTCCAATTCTCATATATAACACGAATCATCAATTTTTTATTTAACTACAACAAGAGATTGTGCATCCATTTATGAACCTTTGACACATACGATGGCACTAGATGGCACATCAAAACAATGTATCACTTAGATCTTTTTGTTTGTTGTATCAATGCATAGCAGATACATTGCAAATTCATGCTCGTGCTTCTTTACCTCCATGTACAGTTTTACTACCATGTCATTCCTAATAATCATTAGAGATAAATTACCTTCTATGATGTATCAAATTTTCATATTTCCCTCAATTTATTGATCTCCATTTCAACTGCATTGGATGGTTTGAGATTCACAAAAGCAATATTTTGGCCAACAACTTTTTCATCACTTATGTATCGTTCATATCTCACTTCACTTTCCCAGATTTCCGAATGTCTCAACAAGATCGACATAATATTCACGTTGTATCAGTTCAATTTTTTTTGAATATTTTGAAACAAAATTGAATGAATTTTGGAAGAATAGGGAGAAGAAATAAATGGTCAAATGAGCCCCCAACCTATTACTGGATTTTCAACTACACACGTATACTTTACTCGGGTCCTATTACCCCCCTGAATTATTTAAAATCAAAATTATTACCTCCCTAAAAAGTCACAACCACATTTATGTTGATAAGTGAAATCCACGCGTTTGGACACGTGTAATTTTTTATTTTTTTATTGATTATTTTATTATGTTTTTCTTTTTTCTTTTTTCTTTTTTCTTTTTCCTTTTATTTCTTTCTCTTCCTTTTCTTGTTCTTCCTCTTCCATCCTTCAATTCCATCTTACCATAGAGTCACAAGTGGAAAGCTTGAGAAGCGAAAAAATTTATGATGATAATTAGAGGAATGACAATCCTACGCGTCATTTTTGCAAGAGCAGTGATTCAATAAGAGGAATGACCTAAAAAATAAATTATCGGTCAAAATCTTTTTCGATGAGGATATTTTGAGATTTTTTTAAGAGATTCCCAGCATTATTAAGTTGTTTGAATGAATTTTGTTAACTGAAAAAATTTGTTACAATAGCTTCAAAATGATATTTCAATGTTGTTTTAATGGTTAATAGTTGATTTTAAAAATGGGGGTAAAGTTATTTACTTAATAATTTTTTATTGTGTGGAGAGTAGGAAAGATATTTTTATCTAGGAATTATGGTGTTAATAGATATTGTAATGGTGGTGTTTTCAGATCGTTATGGTGGAATTTGATGACTACCATCGATGCTCTACTAAGTTGTTAAGAAGAAGAAAAGAGATGGGATAAAAACAAATAAAGAAAAAAAAATTTAAAATGAAAAGAATATTAAAAATAAATTTTTAATATTTATTTTTGATCTTCAAAGAGAGTGAAATACACTCAGTTTGCCACATAAGCATTTAGAGAGGTAATAATTTCAATTTTAAATAGTTTAGGGGGGTATTAGGACTCCCGTGAAGTAAAAGTGTGTAGTTGAAAATCCGATAATAGGATGGGGGCTCATTTGACCATTTTCTCTAAATTTTTAATTGTTTCAACTTGTTACGCATTGCCAGAGATTGATTCCCATTGCCAACAACGTGATCCGTGATTTATGGTTTTGTTATTTAATTTTATGTTTCTCTTCCTTTTCAAGCGTAACAAAAAATCAATTTATGCATCGGACCCGGCTTATTTGCTATGTATCCGGATGACACTAATTTGGAGGAATTTTTGTAAATTGAAAAAGAATAGGCATATAATCTGCTCCTTGCACTATGGAATTCCTAAAAATTTTACTTTGAAAAACTCAAACTAACTCGATCCATGTACACCCCTACCATCAATATAGTGTGAATGAGATGCGGGTGTTAGAGTAACAGTTATCTGCAGCAAATAAACTTGGGTTGGCTTATGAATGTGCAATTCACACCGTATTTTGTGTCTTTTTGGAAGCCTTTTTAATTAAGGGAAATGTTTGAAATAAGGTTTGAAAATATTGGGGTCTTGTTGCTAAAAATTCACCATGATTTTGTATTTGGTGGACCTTAACAGCCGAAAGGTGTAGTAGAATGACCGACATCCCTTAAAACCTTTTTTATGACAAGGGAAACTCGCAACCACTATCCTTTGGGTGCACACAGGTAAAAAAAACCCCTCATGTTTTGATCATAAAAATGGAGACCGACCAAGACCGGGAGGCTTACCCCCTCAGTGGGTCTGCTAGGTGCCAATTTGAATTAGCTAATCAAACTTCAGCTATTAGAAGGTTAAACCAAATAAAGAACAAATTTAAAACCTCGAAATCAAGTAACATGAATTATTTATGCTAAAAGCTCATACCAAAAAACTCAGTGTTGCATCACGATTTTGTTCAATGCTAGAAACTTTTTAACCAAATAGATCAGGATATGCATAAGCATACAGTTTCAACGGATGCCATGAAACCATGGAAGTAAACTAATGGTAGAATGTCACTTCTGTACACATGCACAGAAAACAGGATAAACTGAACATCATGTACAACACCACATTAATCATCCAAATTACATTTAAAATATTTTTGATAACCAGGAAATCCTTGAGGGCCAGCCGACACAATTTCAGCGGATAATCAGTCTGTTCATCTACCATTTTCCACTTAAATACCAAGCTTTTGTATGCGGCAAGGCTCAAATGCATGCACTGCATCAGCCCAACACATCATGCACTGCAGGATCTTACCACTAAACTAGTCCCCTCGGGGGCCATCTATATGTTCATTGAACAATTTGTCTGAAAGTAAGATGAACAATGCATGATCCAAGTTCAGCTAGAAGGTTCAGGCCCGTCATGTAGAGCACAACATACTGTTGCTTTATGATGCCCTTGGTATACTTTGATATCTTTGCCTGTAGATGTGGACCATAATCTTGCTGTTGTATCAGAAGATGCTGCAAGGGGAGTGTTTTGTTCATATTAGAGAAAAATTGAAAAGCCAAATACTTCAGAGACCAACTACTAAAGCTTGAAGCTCAAATGGACAGAAAAACCTAAGACTTCATTTGTTTGCACTTGATGAAGGTCATAATCTTTAATCATTCAAATCTTATTTAGTAAGTTTGTTGAACTTTAGGTCTGAATCTGAATTCAAATCTCAAGCAATAAAGGGTCATTTGATAGCTGGTTAGAGTTATGCATGTCTTAATAATGTATGTATTAGTTATGAATGAATCTATGTACTATTTTATGCATGTATTAGTTATTCATGTATTAGTTATACATATAATAGTTATTCCACCTTCTATCCTGCATAAGATAATACATAGATTCCCTCGTGAATTATACATCTATTAGTTACGTGGGTTTCTAAATTGTCAACCAAACGTCTTATTAATTTTATACATGAATAAGTTATTTCCTATCTACCTACCAACGTCGTACACATTATACAAAAAATTAATACATGAATAACTTGTTTCTTAGCCAACTACCAAACGACCCCTAATTGCATTTGATTACCACAACCACTTAATGAGTCTAAATAGATCTAAATGATTATCATCTATAACAAAGTTTTAATAATTGAGATGTCCATTGAAGGATTTCTATGAAAAAACAATTCACCAATTTCATCCATTCATAGCTACCTTCATAGCCTACCATTATAAACTACTGTTGCCGCCTACCATTACCAACTACTGCCACTCAGCGCCCCAACCACCATCGTTGTCAATCACTAAAATCAACTGCCACCATCAACTATTATTATCAGCCCCCATCACCATTAGCTACTAACCACAACACCATCATTAGCTAACCTTATCCCCAATCGGCACCCACAACCACCATCGTGAGCCATCATCACAACCAAGTTAACCGCCATATAATGTTCTAAGAATATTTTATTGAATTTTATATTTATTAATGTTTTAATATAGATAAGTTTTATATATTCAGTTGTGGGAAAAACAAAGTCTTAATTAGTATTTAGAACATCTGAATATTGAGATGTGTATTCAGATTCAAACATCTAAAACTTAATGTAGATCTTAATATCCAAATGAGTATTCGAATTCACATGTCTTAATCATTAAAAAAAACAAATGAGATCTAAAGCACTTAAGAAGGCTTTTGACTTAGAAATTCTTTTGGCAACATTGAAATGCACAGAAACATCGGTGTCTAATCTGAAAAGGTCTTTGGGCATAAAAAACAGATCTAAAAGGTTCTTAATCATCAGATTCTCCAACTGCAGCTGTCAGATATAAAATCCAACCCAAATCTATTCCCAAATAAATACTATATTGGAGTCACTCTGCCATCCTATACCACGTTTATTGTTTTCAGTCTTCAAACTTTGAATCAGCCCCTAGTCCACCATGCAATTCACCCGGCAACAGAAGGAACAAAAAGTTCCCTGACCAGCTCCATATCATTTCACTCCCTCTAATGAAAACCTCAGTTATGTTCCTTCATTTGGGGAATGTTAATGAACAGTAAAGCTCTCTTCAACACCTATTTTCTACTCACGGGTTAAAACCAAAACTACAATTCAAATGACATAATAAGTACTCTCAATGCACCAAAATGGCTTGCTCATGAACTATAGCTAGGAGGAAATAAAGAAATATTCTAACAGTACACAACAATTTCAGTATGTACCTGTGATGAGAAAAGCACCATCTACAGAGAATACACAGTCCCAAACCCAGCGTTCGTGTCCTAGAAAATACACCAAAATTTAATGAATATTACATGTGATGAAGAATTAGAAAGAAGCTATCAGCAAAAGGGGGAAAGATGAGTAAAACGATAACTGGAAATTATTTTGGAATTTGATACCTATCAGAGTTTTCTCCAAGGTAAAGCCATCCACATTCCAAATCTTGACAGTATGATCAGAAGATGCAGTCGCCAGATACCTATAAATTACAGTTTTTAAAAAAAAAAACTAAGAAATGTTAAAGCATATTAAAATAGAAAGTGTCTCAAGCACATTAGGTAGCAAAATAGTATTCACAGGAACAAGTAAATAACAGATAAGAGACTAGAAACTTGAAGCAAAACACAAGGAATCATGAAAAACACTTACCTGTTAGGTTCGCATAATTCAGGGGAAAGAAGACATTTGAGGATATAACCATCATGAGCCTGTAACTTATGCAGAGGCTCAAAGTTGGTCATTGTCTGCATTTTATGTGAAGTCAGTTTTAGTAATATTCAGTCACAGCTGTAGAAAAATGCTTGCAGAAACAATCCATATTCATGAGGACGTTGGCACATGAGAAAGAACGAAGTTTGGTTTGAGTCCAATCAGACTGAACGATCCAGTTCAAAGGAGGAAAGATAGTTACAGACTTACAGGAAAAATTGATAAGACAGCTCAGTGAAAAGTTTTACATTTACTATATTTAACAGAACAGAAACTAGAAAAAAACTAAAATAAGCTAGTGTCGATTTCGTGTTGTTTTTTATTCCTCTCATCCCACCTCCCACAATTAGTGAAGGAATTTGGGTCTCAGGGAAAAGATCAGGTGCAGTTTTTTCTCCGATAAGTAATATCACATGCTACAGTTTTGAATTGTAGAATTGGACCACTGGTTACCTCGGTGCCACGTAGTAAACGCCAAACATAACATGTTCCACGATTGTTTGCAGCAACAATTAAGCTTCCATCCCACATTACAGTCAAAGAACGAACAGCTGTATCCACCTCCGGTACCTAAGTTTTCAAATATACTGATAAATACCAATTTGTGTACGGCACATTAAACATCCACACACCACGAGGTGGTGACCACTAAATACCCTTTATTGTGATCTATATATTACACTATAAAAAGGAAAAGCATTACCTTTTGAAGAAATTGATTATCAACACCAACAGATATGAGGCATGATCAGTTTATGTTTAACTAGCTCACCATTTAATTGAAATAATTGAATCATTAAAAAGAATTCATATCTTTTAAATGCTAATGGTGTAGCTCTCAGAATTACCCTGAAATTCACTCATGAATGACTCCTCCAACCATCATTTCAGTTCCTAGTGACCATAATCCAAAAGACCACAAGATATACGAACTAATGAAAACTAAACTACATACCAACTCACAGCTACATGAATTTGCTCTCAAATCCCATACACGGATATTGCCATTTTGGTCTCCAGATATCAACTCAGTCTGCAAAACATATAGAAGAATGAGATTCATGAAACACAACAAAAAGAAAAGCTCAAGCCCATCAATTGACAGGAGAGGATGGATCAATCAAAAGCGTGTTCTGGTGAGGCATACACACAAATTGGAAATGTTGAAGTCAAGAAAGAAAATATTATTTTTTTTACTTTTGTACCAAGATTTTGAAGAATTAGGTCTGCTAAAATAAAGAATGCCAAAAAAAAATAATCAAAAAATTACACCCTAGTCATGGACATGGGCGATCTTGAACTTTTGACCCCGTTTGCCCCATGGGAAAATCTTCAAGATCAAAAGTCAAAACTTGTTAGAACTTGAAGTTTTGCCTATGGAGCGAGAGTTGAGAGGGGTCAAAACTGTTCAAGACCAGCCATTTACAAGGCCATTCTTGTAAATCACCCCATAAATATTTGAGAGTCATAAGTATGTGTGAGAAATATAGCAAAAAAATATTATTGAATTGTGTACCTACATTATTACTCAACTATTTATAAACACTATATTACAATCTTTTTTTTCAAGTACGATTCTATATATTATTTATGTTCTTATTCCTATTCTTATACTCTCCTCAAGCGGGTGCATACAAGCCATACGTACTGAGCTTGTTAAGGATGTAATTGATACGAGAACCGATGAGGGACTTGGTGAAGAAAGCTACCAATTGATCACTCGACTTCACGAATTTTGTAACAATATCTCCTAAAAGTATCTTTCACTACCAAAGTAAGAGTCAATCTCAATGTACTTAGTCCTCTTATGAAATACTAAATTTGATGCGATATGAAGTGCCGCTTAATTATCACACACAAGTTCCATCAGATCAATTTCTTCAAATTTTAGTTCTCTCAGCAATTGTTTGATCCAAACTAACTCACAAGTTGCTACTACCATTGCTCGATATTCTGCTTCTGCACTAGATCGAGCAACCACACTGTCTCTTACTATTGCAGGACACCAAATTACCTCCGACTATAACACAAAGTATCTGAATGTAGAACGTCTATCAAAGGGTGATCCTGCCCGATCAACATCAATATATCCAATGTTATGCTCATGGCCTTGATCCTCGAAAAGAAGTCCTTACCTAGAGCTGACTTTATATACCGTAGAATATGAACAACTGCATCCCAACGACTATCACAAAGGGAAGTCATAAATTGACTTACAACACTCACAAGAAAAGAGATGTTAGTTCTAGTTACCATGAGATAATTCAACTTTCCAACCAATCACCTATACATTCTGAGATTAATGAGTTGCTCCCTGTCCTGGCAGGAGTTGCATTCGAATCCATGGGAGTGTCAATGAGTCTACATCCCATCATTCATGTTTCCTCATGAATGTCAAAGGCATACTTGCGTTGAAAAATAACAATACCTAATCTAGACTAAGCAGTCATAGTGCCTAGAAAATACTTCAGTTTGCCAAGGTCTTGGTCTAGAAATGCTGAAAGAGATGTTGTTTCATTTTCAGATTAGTGATACCAACTTGATCGTTGTCAGTGATTAACGATATCGTCGACATAAAACACCAAATAAATATATAAATTTGGTGCAAAATGTTGATAAAACACAGAATAATCAGCTCCAACACAAGTCATACAAAACTCCTAAATTATTGTGTTGAACTTCAAATCAGGCTCGAGGAGACTGTTTTACACGATAGAGTGTGACTTTCGCAGTCAACATATAAGGTTAAAGAACGAGAGGACACTCAACTACCTAATAACCTTCCACCCTACTCTACGAGCTTCGTAACTTCCTATCTAAGTTTATGTCCTCATTAAGTTGGAAAATGTGTCATGTCCTAACTAATCACCTCTGCCCAATGTTTCTCCAGCCTATCTCTGTCGGAACTCACCATAGACAACCTCTCACACCTACTCATTAAGGCATCTACATCTCTCATCTTCACATTCCTGAACCATCTCAGTCCAGTGTTATGAATGGCGAGCGCCATTCGCCAAAGGCGATAGCGAGGCAAGGCGAGCCATTCTCGCCATTCTTCACTGAGGCGTGGCGATCCCAAAAAGGCGACCATATGGCGAAGTAAATGGCGGCGCCATTTTGTTTTTAAATGTTTAAAAAGCTTTGACTTAATAATATTAGTCAAAATTAGGGTTTTTTTTTTCCATTTTCAAACTTTCATCAATCAGTCGCATTTTTTTTCTCCTTGCGATCTCTTCTCCTCGCGTCTCTTCTCCACGAGTTGCTGCTCCTCTTCGGCTCTTCCCCTCGCTGCCTCGCGTCTCTTCTCCTCCTTCATCGCACGAGTTGCTGCCAGCCGCCAGGTATACTCTTTTTTTTCTTCTTCTTTTCAGTTCTTCTTCTTCTTCTTGAGTTCTCTTCTTCTTCTTCTCTTCTTTTTTCGCTTCTTCTCTTCAAGTTCAGTCCTCTTCTTCGTTTCTCTTTCTTCTTTCTTTTTGAGATACAGTAGCTTGCTGCTTTCACTACTCTGTTTTTTCCTCTGTTTTATTGTTCACCTGTTACTGCTTACTGCCTTCACTGGTTGTTGTCTATAATTTTAAAAAACTGCTCTGTTTTACTCCTCTGTTTTATTGTTTTACTGCTCTGTTTTTTTCCTCTGTTTTATTGTTCAGCTGTTACTGCTTACTGCCTTCACTGGTTGCTGTCTATAATTTTTTTTAAAAAAAAATTCTTCTATAATTATTTATTCATTTGTCCATAAACAGTGAATTGACTGAATTTAATGGCAGTTGCTAGCAAAAAGAGGGACATTGGATGGAATTATGGTACCCAAGGAGCAACGAAAGATTCGGTTAATTGTAACTTTTGTGGGAGTACTTTTAATAGTGGAATAACTCGACACAAGCAACATTTAGTGGGTGGTTTCAAGAATGTTAAAAAATGTACAGCTTGTCCGTCGACGATTAGAGAAGAAGTATGGGCTTATATGCAAAATAAAATCGCTAATAATCCCAAATTTCAAGTGAGGCAGCCGGAAAAATATATTGATATTGATGATGTTGATGATATGGATGAATATGCGGAAATGATGCCTCCCTCCAAAACTCCAAAGATATCTTCTAGTGGAGGTGCATCATCCACCGCGCGGAAAGGGCCTATGAATCTCTATTTTCCGCAGAAATCAACACAAAAAGGAGGCTTTGAAAAAGGAGGAGGAATTGATGAAACAAAGAAAATTCTAAGAGAGCGTGCGGTAAGTGCTTTCGCAATATGGATGTATGATGCGGGGCTCCCTTTTAATTGTGTCAATCACAAATTATTTAATAAATTTATTGAGACAGTAGGACAACATGGCCCCGGAATGAAGCCTCCTACATTCCATGAAGTTAGAGTTACTCACCTAAAAAAAGAGGTGGAGAAAGTGAAAAAAATTGTTGATGAGCATAAAGTGCAATGGACAAAGTTTGGATGTTCCATTATGATGGACAAATGGACGGCGCGAAATGGTAAAATGATCATTAATATTTTGGTGAATTCTCCAATCGGTAGTGTATTTCTTGGTTCTGTTGATGCTAGCAATGAATCTACCGATTCCACCAAAATGTACAAGTTGTTTGAAAGCACTATTGAAATAATTGGAGCGGAAAATGTTGTACAAATTGTCACTGATAATGCTAGTGAGAATGTTAAAGCGGGAAGCATGATGATGGGTGCATACCCACACATTTTTTGGACTCCATGTGCCGCTCATTGCATCAACTTGATGTTTGGTGACATATTCAAGGTTAAGCCATATGCTTCCGGTAATATCACTCTCTTATCTTCTAACTTTCTTTATAGTCAATATTTAATACTTATTAGCTACTAATTAATATAATCTTACTTCAACAGTTTTAAAGAAGGCCATCAGAATCCATTCTTACATTAGTCAAAGGCCATTGTTGTTAAACTTGATGAGAAAATTCACCACGGAAAGAAATTTGGTCAAACCGGCCAAGACAAGATTTGCAACGGCCTTCTTATCTTTGAGAGCTATGTACATACAAAGAAAAAACTTGAGAACTTTAGTCCTCTCAACCGAATAGACTTCAAGTAAATTTGCAAAGGAAACTTTGGGGAAAGAAGTTGCCAATCTTATTATTTATGCCCACTTTTGGGATGATGTTGTTCGAGTACTTACAGTTTGTGGCCCTTTGACAAAAGTGCTTCATTTGGTGGATGGGGAGAAAAAACACCAATGGGCTATATTTATGAAGCAATGGATAGAGCCAAAGAAACTATTGAACGGGGTTTTTGTGGAATTAAGAAGCAATATGAGAAAGTGTTTGAAATTATTGATGCAAGGTGGTCAGACCAACTCCATCGGCCTTTGCATGTTGCAGGCCATGTTTTGAACCCAGGATTGTATTATAAAGCTCAAGAAGAGGGAACTTTACTACAGAGTCTGTGGACCGAGTATTATGCATGTGTTGAGAAGATGATCCCCGATACAACAATAAAAGATTTACTAGTCGCTGAGCTTCCTAGGTACAAAATGGCAAATGGACTATTTGGTTGTGGTCCGGCTAAAAGAGCTAGAGACACAAGGTCACCGGGTAAGTGAGTTGATTTAGCTCTTACCTAAATTATTCGACTTATTTATACTCATTAACCTTTAAATGTATTTTATTATAGTGGAATGGTGGTCACTATTTGGTAGTGAAACACCAAACTTGCAAAAGCTTGCCATGAAAGTATTAAGCCTAACTTGTAGCTCATCCGGATGTGAGCGAAATTGGAGTGTGTTTGAACACGTAAGTAAAAAAATTATATCCTAATTTCCATATTATATTATTATCAATATCTATTAGTTAATATCTATAACTTATGGGAAGATTCATTCCAAAAAGAGGAATAGGCTTGCACTATCACGTCTCAATGATCTAGTGTACATTAAGTACAATAGAACATTGAAACGTCGTTATGATGCTCGTGATCTCATTGATCCAATTCGCTTGGATAACATTGATGATTCAAATGAATGGTTAGTTGGATGCCCCAAAGATGAAGAAGATGAACTAGTATATGAGGATGATGATCTTACTTGGGGTAGTGTTGCTACGGCAATTGGAGCTGATGAGAGTATCTATCATCTTAGGGGACTTTCTTCAAGATCAAGTGCACTTGACAAGGGCAAAGGAGTAGAAACTACATCTACAAGTTCAACTTCAAGTAGGACTCGGACACTAATTGACGAAGACTACGAGGAGGAAGAAGATGAGGAGCAATATAATGATGAAGAGGATGTTGATCTTCAAGAGTTGGATAATTTTGAAGAAGAATAGACTTTTAGAGTTCTAGTATTATCTTTTGAATTATTGGGTCTTTAAAGTTCTAGACTTTTAGTATCTACTTTTAGTTTTTGAATTGAAATATTTGTTAATATATGTTATTGCTATTGAGATTTTGGATAGTTATATATGCAATTAAATATTTTTAATTTTTGGTACTAATTGGCGCCTCGATTCAAAAAGGTGAGCGCCTCACCGCTCGCCTCGCCGCGTGGCGAGGCAGGCCCTTGTCGCCTTTTGTCGCCTCTCGCCGTCCAAAACAGTCTCAGTCTAGCTTCCCTCATCTTGTCTAGCACGAAAGCCACCCTCACCTTGTTTCAAATATCTTCATTCTTAATCGTGTCTCTCCTAATGAGCCTGCATATCTACCACAACATCCTCATTTCTGCTACTCCCATTTTTTGAACATAAGAGTCCTTAACTAACTAACACTCCACCCCATACAACATAGTCGGCCTAACAATCTTTTTTTTTTTTTTTCGATAACCGAGAAATCCGTCTTTGACCCGCCCTTTGGACCAATCACAGCCTTCTAAACAGATTAACAATCTTTTTGTTCAACATACATTTAAGCTTTGGTTGTACATTTTTATCACAAAAGAGACTCCGGAGGAGAGCCTCCATTTCACCTAGCCTACACCAATATGGTGTGTGCCATCATCATTGATCCCCTCATTTCCTTGGATAATAGACCAAGATACTTGAAACATCCTCTCTAGGTGACGACTTACGAATCAAGACTCACTTCCACACCAACCTTCGACATTACAACACTAAACTTGCACTTTAAGTATTCACTTTTGGGTTTGTTCAACCTGAACCCTTTAGACTCCAAAGTCTGTCTCCAAACCTCCAGCCTAGTGTTTACTATGTCGCGAGTCTCATCTATCAGTACTATGTCATCTGCAAATAACATACACCATGGCACCTCATCATGAATATGGTGCATCATTTAATCCATCACCAATGCAAATAGAAATGAACTATGAGTTGATCCCTAGGGCAACCCTATCAAAACTAGGAACTGCGTTATGTCTTTAATCGACCTAATATATGTCACTGATACACCTCTAGTCTCCAAGCATCTCTATAGAACCTCTTTTGGGACTTTGTTCTACGCCTTTTCTAGGTCAATGAACACCATATGCAAGTCCCTCTTCCACTCCTTGAAATGCTCCACCAATCCCTCATAAGATGAATAGCTTTTGTAGTTGATCGCCTTGGCATAAAATCAAACTAGATTTTTAGAAATAGAAACACTCCTCCTCACCTTCATCTCCACCACTCTCTCCCAAACTTTCACAGGGTGGCTTAACAATTTGATCCCCTATAGTTGTTGCAGCTTTGAATGTCACTCTTGTTCTTGTACAACGAAATCATTGTGTTCCACCTCCATTCTTTGGGCATTTTTGTTGTCTTCAACCCGAACCTGCTCAGCCTGAGTTCTTCCAAAGTTCCATCTATATCTCATTTGGGTCAGTCGCTCCCCCCTTCTCATCCTACGAACACCACCAATAACCTTCTCAACAATTATACACCTAAAATACTTGAAATCCTGACAACTCTTGGAGCGCTCTAAATCACCCAGCACCTAACTAGGAGAGTTGGGTGGACTGGACAGGTAATAAGCTCAAAATCACACGATCAATTGAACTAAATACAAGTATCATCCAAAAGCTTCTTACTAATAAGCAATTGAGACCATGCAGTGTAATAAATAATAGTCACAATCTGAGTCATGCTATGAGACATTCAGAAATCGAAAAGAGTATAAGAGCCCGTTTGGATTGGCTTAAAAGTCGGTCAAACCTACTTTTAAGTCAGTTTTTGACTTCTGGAAGTGTTTGGCAAATATAATAAATAACTTAAAATAAGTCCAAAATGACTTAAAATAAGTCAGAAACCAAAAGTAGGTCTCCCCCTACTTTTTATTTTTTGACTTAAAAGTCATTTCAGTTTGACTTTTTATTTTTGACTTAAAAACTACTTTTTTAAGCCAATCCAAACGGGCTCTAAATCAACCCACATGTCAAGGGTAACAGACAACCAATTTGAATGTATGCCTTGTCAAGTTAAAAAAAAAATTATTATTGTTAAGAGACCTTATGGTCCTGGCAGATTATGGACACTGTTTTAAAACATCTTTGGAGTGCAATGGGTCATCCCCAAGGAAGTGAAGTATTTGCTGCTGTGCTTGCTTGGACAGAGTTGGAAATGAGCCGAAGCAGATCCAGTGGACTGTTCATATTTGCATTATGTGGGCTATTTTGGCTTGAAAGGAATAGAAGATGTTTTGAGGATAAGAGACAGCACTAAGTCGGAATGTAAAATGGACCTTGACACTTACCTTTTTCTGTAATTTAACACTAATACTTTATGAAAAGATTGGTCAAACACAATTAGCTTATTAAATTCTAAAAGGAGCGCTTTTTAAATAAATTGGCCAAACACAAGAATGCTTCTCTCGAAAAGTACTTTTTTGAAAAGTTGTTTTGACAGCACCCAAGGGTGTGACCTTGTGGTCAATAAAGTGGTTGAGAATCCTGAGGTTTCAGGTTCAGAACTCAACGAAGACAAAAACCTAGGTGATTCTTCATATCTATCCTAGCCTTGGTGGACAGAGTAACCTGGTACATGTTGGTGGGAGGTGGCAGGTATCCTGTCCTAGGTATCCTGTCCTGTGGAATTAGTCAAGGTGCGCGAAAGTTGTTTTGGACACTACAGTCATCAAAAAAAATTATTCTGAAAAAAATACTTTTCAAAATAAGCAGTTTTTAGATGGCCAAATAGGCTCATAATACTTGTCGTTGTTGTAGAAACTTATATGTCAATGTATGGAAAAGGGTAAATTTCGAAGGCAGTTAGTTCTAGAGAACTCTAATTTTTCATAAATGATAAATTGATTACTATTGGATTGAACTAGACCTTTAGAGAGGATTAGATATTCATGATCCATATAGCAGACACAACTATGTTTAAATTGAGATGTAGTTGATTGATTTTTGATAAAGTTTCTAAGAACTACACAGTATATTCTTAATTAGATATACCAAAACTATTAAACTACTTGAAATTTGCCAAATAAACAACAGAAGCATAACTGAGAGACCTGTTCTATACTGATTAATCACAATATGTGGTACATAAAGATGAAGAAGCAGTAAAACTGTAAAATAGCATCCCTATTTATGCCAATCCTATCTCTACTTCTTTAGCATGGTTCCATCTTTTGTGATGGAGCCCAGTCTGAATAGCTCATTCAAATATTTCCTTGTGCAGCTAAACTCAGATTTGATATGGATTATCATTCAATGAAGAAATTGAACAAAGCCATAAAATTTGCTGAAAAAAACACAGGATAAAAGTGACTAAAAAAGAACCTTCACACAATTCAAAGATCAAAGTATAAAACCTGATTAGGGTGCAAAACTACAGTGTTCACAGCTGCCCGACTTTCATATTCCCTCTGACAACCTGGGGCCCTATTTGTTCAAAAGATTCAAAGATACAGTTGACTTAAAGGAAAAATGAGAAGTTGGAAAGAGAGTAACACATCCAACTTTGATATCTACAATACCTCAAATCCCAAATCTTTACAGTGCCATCTTCAGATCCAGAATACATCCAGTTTCCATCACACTGAAATCCTACTGCCATCACATTATTAGTGTGTGAATCAAAGCTCCTCAGCTGCCAAAAAGTATTAAAAACATCTTCTTTAACTTGGGGAACCGAAATGAACACAAACTCATATGTCAAAGCCACAACAGAGGAAAACACCATGTAACAAAAAAGAAACGGAATTAATAAAAGCAATGAATAAAGAAGGAAAATCTGAAGATCTACCGGCTGAGGACTGTTCGAGTTGATGTCGAATAATCGAATGTGAGGATTTCCAGCAGCAGCCAAGAAGCGTTTATCCGGAGTAATTTCAAGACGATTAACTTGCTGTATACAGGTCAAGAAGGTAAAGGCAGACATATCAGACAACTATTCCAACAAAATTAAGTTGATTTAAAATGCAAACAATTCTCCATATGTTTTGGATGTCTATCTTACCTTCCCTGCCAATATAGTCTGTTTGGATAAATGAATAGCATCTCAACTAGTTGGTGAAAGAAAGATCACACTTAATGTAATGCACAGAATAACGCTACTAAAAAGTGAAGCTTGAGTCCTTCTCCAAATTTGCAGTCTTGGCATCAAATTTATCCCGTAATGACATTAGTCACATATATACGAGAATGCAGTTTGGCAGAAACACTTATTTAAAGTTCATTCATCTTAATTTTATTTTCTAGACATCTGAATAAAATACAGGGGCATCCACCTCCAAAAATGATATAAATATGGTTAAACTAGGGTTGCAGTGACCACAATTAATAAAATGAACCAAGTATTCCCAAAAGGAAAGAAAAGCATGCTACATCAACCTCTGCATGTGTTGTAGCAGCAACTCTGTGGACACACAAACTAACCCCAACACACAAGAAAAAATAAAAGATAAAAGAAAGCATAGAATGAAAAATTGAATAGAGAGAAATGGAATTTAAGGGAACGTACTGACTCTGGGTATTGAATAGTTCGATAGCAGCGGGCACTCTTGGCCTCCCAAAATTTTATAGTGTGATCATAGCTAGCCGTTGCTAGCACCACTGATGGTTGACTCATCTCTATCAAATTCAGATTGAAAAAAAAAAAAAACTTAGATCAAATTAGATGATCCAGCACTAGGGTTTTGGAACTTGGGTCTGAAATCATGGTAGGGATGACAAAAATTACATCTTCACAAGTATAAGTTCCATCACAAATAAACCAGATTCGTCGAATATATATAACCTCTCCATCGTCCAAAGCTACCACAGCTTTCAATAAATCACCCCTTTTTTTTGTTTTTTTCTCTTTTTTTTTTCTTATATTAATTTAAAAATCAAATTTCACACCCATACTGAAATAATCTTCAAAAAATTAAATTAGGGAAAAGTTATGTCATACCTCTCGATCCTATATGTAGCTCAAACAATTATCATGAGTTAGAATCTAAACAGTTATGCCTACATGTAATTATACATATAATCAAATTTCACACGCATAATAAAAAGTTTTCAAAAAAATTAAATTTGAAAAAATCTGTGTCATACCTCTTGATCCTATCGAGCACTGTTGTAGCTCAGTTAATTAGCACAATAAGAATCTAAAAGAGCTATACTTAAATGCAATTATTCTCTCTATATATATACTAGTTTCCGAACACGTTCTTTGCGCGTAAACCTGTATCAATGAGTATTATTTCTTAAAAATTTAAATATTATTAAATAATATGATTTGAGTTCGTTTTTATAAAATGTGTCTAATTGAGGTTTCTTACTTTGTCCCACTACTAATTGCGACACTCCAATTTCATGACCTCCCAAGTGAATGCATTGAGTTAATAATATGAGAAATTAATAAAATAAATTTTACTTATAAGTAAAAAAATGAGTTTGTAAAGCAAAAGGGAAAAGATTAAAAGATTGCATGAGATTAGTCTCTGCAAACTGTAGTGCAACATTAATATTTCCTTAATTAAAAGCTTGATAGGAGATTATTTACTTTTTGTACCAAAAATGGTGTAAGATTAACTTTGACCGAAAGGAAAAAATAAATCTTTCAACTTTTTTTTATTTTGTCATTTGAATCTCCTGATAATTATAATGACTGTGTTAAAAATATTATTTTAGATTTTTATCCACAAGACTTTAAACTAATTATTTAATTATAATATATTATAAATTAAGGTGTAAAAAGTCTTAATATTGATATTTTGAAAATCAGAATATTTATAAACATAACTACTATTTTTATTAGAATTTAATTGTCGCTTCATACATAACTTTTCCGCCATTAATCTAATGTTATATGTTTCACCTTCTTTTTTGTTTTAAAAAAAAGGAGAGTAAACATTCTATCACATTCATTCTTAAATATGAAAGTTAATGTACATGTAAATTATAAGTACAATGAACAAAAAAAAGATACACATGAGCAAGACAATTTGACATTTCTTTTTGCTTTTGTATCTGTAACGACATATTTCTGTCGTTAGGGAAAAGCCATTGGGGAAAGAATTGGGGCCAGAAAACTTTTGACTAGTGACTTGAAAATTCCTAGCCTAGTCCAGATTTGGACGAAATCTGAGTCGTGCGAGGTCTAGGGAAATTTGGTAATGAATGAAAGATTCAATAATGATTTTGGTTACATGAGTGGATAGCCAAGACGTTAGGGAGTCTGTATGACTTTACGAAATTGAATTCGGGTGAATAGAACTCCCGAAACTAATCTTAGCGTGAACGGGCGGTAGTTTTTGGATGTCAAGGATTGAAGGTGTGCTGTGAAATATTGGGGGTTTGAAACTCTAATTCCAACGTTCTGTCTCCGCGCAAGCCGTCAAGGCGGGATATATCCCACCAAGGCGGGGCCGCTATGGCGGGATGGGGTCCACCGTAGCGGCCCAGTCGCGAATTAAGTCGGGATTAAACCCCAAAAATGTTCGTATTCTGCAATTTTTGTTCTTGAGAGCTAAGAAACGACCCGGGCAAGTTCTTGACAGTTTTCCACCTCTTCTAGCACGAAAGGTAAGGTTTTTACTCCCCTAATCCATTTTTCGATCCGTAGAACATAGATTCTTGGGTAATTATCATTGGGGGAGGATTTTGACCTGAAACTAATGGTGGAAAAAGCCCTAAGTTGGGTATTGGGATCTTGGTTTTGGCTTAGGGTTGATAATTTCGATTGTAATCTATGTAATTAGGCCTCGTTTATTGATCACGAACAAGCGAAAAGAATTCGAGAAAGGAAGATTCAAGTGCCTTAGGGAATTCAAGCTTGGTTTCGAGGTATGTGATGGTTTGATTTCTTGTTTGTGTGATGTATGTTGGTAATTGCTTCATTGTAATGCATGTATGTATGTAAATGAAACATTGTTGATATGTAACACCCTGTTATTTGAAAGAGGTAGAATTAGAAAAAAAAAAAACATTTTTGGAAAGATCAAATTTGGAAAGTTTGGCAAGTTTGGTTAAGTTTAGGTTCTAGGTCAACTTAAAATGATCATAACTCCTAGCAAAATATGAGTTAGGTGGTCTACAAGATACCGTAGGAAAGACCTTTGAATTATCTTTCCAATGCCACCGAGTTTGCTCAATTTCGAGTTCGTATGAGGGAGATATATGCCCATTTGAAATTGGGTTGTCTAGATAAGGAAAGTCAAAACCGGATTTTAGAAGGGTAATATGGTCTTTTCACTACCCAATTAATTGAATCCGTTTTTAGTGAATTATTTGGGGTCTAAACTCAGTTAGTTTAGTTTAAGCAATTAAGAATTACACTAGCGTTTTTAGAGAAAGAACTCAAGAGGAGAAAAGTTAAGTGTTCTGGGAGATTTCTTGCGGAATCGAAGTCATTTCGCCAAGGGTTGATCCCTAAAGAGGTATGTGAGACTTTCATAGCGCTAGGTTCATTCACCCACGCGCCAATCATTTTTAGTTCAGCGAAATTTGTTCTAGAAAGTTGAAAGTTGATGATTTTGAATTGTGTTCTTGAATATTGACTTTCGTTCTTGAGTTAAGTTAGGATTGTTGAGTTCTAGAGGAAATCGTGTCGATTGTAGTGTCGTTTACGAATAGATTCTTGTGTACATATACTGGGTATCTCAATCTAAAGGGTATTTGAGAAAAAGAATCGAATTTAGGCGAATTGGGGTTAGAAAACGAAGAAGGAAAAAGTCGGTCAAATCTAGGTACCAGGTCCACGTCGCAGACCTGTTCCTTAGGATGGGAATTTTCTCTCCGCGTCGCGGAGTGGTCATAGATCCTTCTGCCTCAAGATTTATTTCGCGACTAAATATTAAAATGTATCTCCGCTTCATGGGCTTGCTTCCAGATAGTGATTTCTTGATCGTTTCTCATGTTTAACTATCTAAAAACACTCCTAAACATCACGAGATCTTTCCTATCACAATCCTTGAATCCATAAATTCAAATTCAAGGAAAGTTAAGAGCCAAGTCTAGCGAGTTCTTAGAGTCTTTTCAAAAGTCTTTTACAAATGATTTAAACTTGTTTTAAGACTTGAATTTTGAGTTGAGTAAAGAGTGAAGTCGTTTCTTCAAAATGAGTATATAGGGACTATGTATTCCCAAAGAGAAAATGTTTTCACATTTAAACAAGAAAGGAAACACCGATTTCCCAAAGAGCCTTGGGCTAATTTTTCAGTAAAAGAGTAAATGCTTTCACAATTAAGCAAAAGAGGAAACATTGATTCCTAGAGTGCAATTGGGCTAGTTTTTGAGTAATTATCTCAAACCACAAAAAGAGTTATGTTTTTAAACATATGAGCTAGTATTATATTTTGGGAGTAGTATTGAGCACCGATATAGGGGAGAGTTCAGACAACTCCCAGCTCCCATAAACTATGTAGATATCATGGGTAGAAAAGGGTCATACTTTTTAGATGATTCCTTAGTGTTTTTTAGCATAGACTAGTGGATCCACTTAGTAGTTAGGTTTTATGCCCTTGGCAAGGTATAGGACAGCCCTGGCAGTGTGAGGCAAAACATTGTATCATCACATAGCTCTTAAGTGATGATTGTCGGTTAGAAAAACTCCCACAGTTATATTTTGTATTCCTATATACATATAGATTACTTGTATTTTCACATACAAACATAGTTTATATTATATCCTTGCATACAAACTGAGTTACCTTTGTATTTCTAAATACACAGAGTTTTTATCCATGTTTTAAAAGTTTTTCTTTATATTGCATTTACATTATTGCTTTATATTGAAATGATTTGAGTTGAGTTGAGACCATGTATGTCCTTTAGTTCCTTTCAAGCTTATGTCTTGTTTTAGAATTCCCCTCGCATGCTCGTACTTTCAATGTACTAATGCTAGTTGTCCTATATCTTTTTATGATGCAGACGCAAGTAACAAGGATCAGCATCCAGCACATCGTTGATTCTAGTTGAGCTTCCGAGTTGTTGGTGAACCTCCATGCTTCCGGAGGACCCCTTTTTATTTTTGTATCATTTTAGTTCATTAGGATGTCGTGGATCTTGTCCCGACGTCCTTCTCAGTAGTTAGAGGCTTCATAGACAGTTGGTTGATGTTAGTTCTTGAGTCTTTCCATTTATTTTTTGATGTTTGAGACTTGAGTGCCGTTTTGGCTAATGAATGTTTGTTTATAAATTCTAAGTTATCTTTTGAGATTTCAGTTTACTTTTTAAAGTATTTTTATCATGAGTAAGTCTTCCTCTATTAGTTATGCTAGGCTAAGGGTTCTCTTGGGGCCATCAATGGTTCTCGAGTGCCAGTCCCGCTTAGGGTGTAGGCTCGGGGCGTGACATGATCAAACCTACATAAATGAGTATTAATGAACAAATGTATGCCATGATTCAACACTTGATTGTATGATTATGAGTATGTACATTATGAGTGAGAATGTGATTGTGGTTCTGATTGATTGGATCGAGTGTCATGTTCCAACACATACGTTGAATTGGTTGTCACGTTCTGACACATATATTGGATTGGATGTCATGTTCCGACACACTAATTGGGATCGAATGTCACGACCGACACACTAACAGTTTGGGTATGGATTCCATGAGAGGACTATTGAATTGTCATATCTAATTGTTATTGAGAATGTGGAACTGTACATTGCTCCTGAAATGATAACCGATGTGTATATATATATATATATTTTGTACATGTTATGCTTGATATGTTGTGACTGCTTATATATGTTTCACTTACGGAGATAGCCGCGTGATCCTACCAGTACACTGTG